ACTCAGAAACTATGAGGTAAAATGCACTGAAACTTCGCAAAAGTATCTATCAGGTGCTTAATTAATTTTGTCGAAAGTTTTGTGATTATCTCGAATAGAATTTACAATTAACAGTGTTTAGGTGATAACTACCTTAAATGAACAAAATTAAGCAAAAGTATAAAACCAAATTTAAATATTTCCATCAAATAGTTCGACTTATAGTTAAAACGCAATGGGTAATAACGTTCCCACGGTTCCCTCGTACAAAGAGAGATCCAAAAAATGTAAGTGAACGTACATACCGGGTGAATGAATTACTTGAAACATACCATGAATAATTAAACAAAACATGAAACGGATTCTCATACATTCTGAATTAAACTAACTTATGTCGCAGTTAGGCACACCGGTTATCTTTCCAAAATGTTCATCAATTTCAATCATTGTTTAAACTCAATGATACACGTTAACAAGTTAAACCACCCAGTACAAACAGTATATAAAGATGCGCTGGATGCTGATGTTCTATTCTTCGAAGGACTACCGTGAAAGTACCGCAGCATTCTCTTATGTCATCAAATTTACTTATGAAATCTGAAGTGTACAATCAATTATAATCATCGATTTTCATCTTGATATTATTTATTCTTAATTAATGATTAAATTTAAAAGAGAAGGTCGAAGAGGATTTTGCAAAGTTTGATGAAGACTGAGATTTTTACTGTGCTTGAAACATGCATTGGCAATTTTCTAAAAGCATCGCCGACAAGGTAAGTCCATTTTTATCAATCTACCTAAAAATAATTTCAAATATATTATAAAATGATTTCTTAAGAGCGAACGTTTCATTTTTTCTATTCACATCTCCCGTTGAAAGTGATATTGCTTAACAATCTAGCGGTTCCCAATTAACAAGAAGAATCTGTGCAAACGTTTCTTTCCTTATTTGTTGAAATTTTTACTTCGCATTCATTTCTTCTTTTAAGTGCGACGAAGTCTGTAGATCTTCTTCCGATTTCCGGGTACGGTTTATGTTAATTGTAGCGGAGGTTTGCACTTTTTTGAGTTAGAAATCGTACTGGAGAACCGCTGGAAGCGCCTACGCGCACGTGCGCGTTGCGGCACTCCTCTCGGAGCGCATCGTCACAAAGTCTTGCCCAATGAATCCCGCGATCCTTTCGAATCCGAATCATGACACGCGTGATTAATGCTTGAAACCAGTAGCCGATTCCCAGTAAACTTTCTAAGTACAATTAGATCTAAATTTCTTCAGTCCGTTAATTTGAACCTAATTAATTTGCAGATCGTTATCCTGTGCTGTCTGAAACTGACAATCGCCGGCGTTCTCCAGCAGTAAAACGAATTACGATCATTAATCATTTATTACGTTAGAGCAAATACTGTATAAAATTGAATACTTCTTTCAGGAGATTCCCTTGTGCGCCGGTTGGAGCGATTTCTGCGAACGGTGAGCTGGTGCCCGTGACTTGCGCCCTGAAGTCAATCGAAAAGCAAGTGGCGCCCACTTATGTGAGGGTCTCTGCGCCGATTTCGTACAGGCCTCTGCCGAAGGCGTCTTCGTTGGTCTACGTGGCTCCACCGATTTTCAAAACAGCCTCAGCCGTCGTCGCGACCGACTCGAGGACCGAGAAGGAATACACGGTGATTCACAAATAATTCACAGTTTATGAGAACTGTAATTATTAATCATTTTTTATTCGAATCGTAGGCTTATCCGAGGTACTCGTTTAATTACGGGGTCCTCGACGGGTACACGGGCGACTCGAAGTCCGCGTGGGAAGAACGTGACGGTGATACTGTTAAAGGTGAGTATTCGGTCGTCGAAGCCGACGGCGCGATTCGAACGGTCACGTACACCGCCGACGATCACAACGGCTTCAACGCTGTTGTGACCAGGAACGAGTCACCGAAGAATGCGCAAGAAAGTAATTTGAAGGCGTTCCTGCCGGCGACGATTGTCTCCCATCATCATTGATCGTTTCTTATCCAATTTGAATTACGAATTTTTGTGCAAAATAAAACGTTTATGATATCAATTTAAAAAATGTGATTTGGATAGAAATTACTTTCATTGGTATGATATTGTAATATACAGGGTGTTTCACTAGATTTTCAGGTTTCTATTTTCTCGCTATTATTGCTCGTAAGGAAGAAAGTTTTACAGGCTTGAGTATCGACTGGGGTTATTACTTATTAGGCTAGACCAAAAGTTTTTTTCTTTGTTGTTTCAATTTGTATAATTTGTTGATGTCAATAAAGATACTTTATATACAAGTGTTATACAGAGTGTGCTAGAAAAAGTGTTAGAGCCGAGGAGAGGTGATTCTGGATTCTGTAAGTGTTCCTGAATAACAGTTTGTTTTGGCAAAATGCAGAGTAAGGGATCATTTTTGAATTATTAAAGAAAAACACTGACCAATGAGAGCATGCATAGGGTCCGCACTGACCAACCGCTGAGCGTCACTCCGGTGCCTAAGCGCGGGCCCTACTCGTACTCTCATTGGTCAGTGTTTTCCGTTAAAAAATTCAAAAACCATGCCTCACTTTGCATTTTAGCGAAGGAAATTGTTGTTCAGAAACACAGAATCACTTCTCTTCGGCTCTAATACCTTTTCTGGGATATCCTGTATATGCACTTCTTCACTGAAAACTAGTAATTTTAATTGGTTTGGTTAAAAGACATTAGTTAAGGAGACATCTTGGGAATCGTTTGGAGTGGATATAAAATCTTAGAGATAATTTATACAAAAATGTTTATCTTTATTCGTAGATTAAAATTGTACACTGTCGTTTCAACTTAGGCTCGTGAAATTCAAACGAAAATAAGTAAAACCGAAATTTTGTCGAACTGTTTATTTAAACGTTACAAAAAATAATTTTATCTCTCAGTAAAATCGTAGGTTTACAAATGTGAACGATAGGCGAACTTATACGATATTAAAATGGTCATTAGAAATAAGACTTAGAAGGAATTATTTAATACAATGTCACGAAATGATTACATTTCTATATGTAATTTCACAGTAAATTCCTTCAAGATTTTCCATACGTACGATTAAAATAAATCTGGCGATATTCGCCATTAAATTTGGGACTTAAGACAATTAAAATATCGACAATACTTGGATAATACTTAAACAGAGATAATCACGAGATCGAACTAATTACTAACTTGGTAACGGACGAAAATCATGTTCTACACGTTTAATCTTAAACCTAACTGACTTCTAAATGGGCGTTTAATTTTGTACGTACCATGTTCCACAATTTCCGTCGCGATAGAAAGAGATTCAATATCTGGATGGCAGAGCAACACCCATCGTCAGGTTTCCCTTTAATCTAACTAATTCTAACACTCTTATTGCTAACGACAAGCCTTCTTCGACTCAAGTTGCTTACTTATTATAAAAAACCGACGGGACGTTTGAGATCCTTCGAAACCCGAGTTACGATTCAAATATCAGTAAATCGGGTGCCGTCCCACGTTTATAAAAAAGAACGATGAGATCTAATGACAGTATGTTTAAAGAGAAAATGAGAATTGTTCCATTGTACGCCTCGGTCCAAGATTGTAAGAATTGCAATATTGCAACAAGTTACAAAATTGCAGTATTGCAACAACGTTTCTACGGTTCTACCTGTTCCTGGAACGTTTGTTGCTGTTCTTTTTCGCGCTGTTCCCAGCTTTGCTCTTCGACGGCTCTTTGCCGGTGTTCTCCTTTAAAGAGGCGTGCTCGAGGCTGCCGTTGCTCGCATGACCGTTCGCGAACTGCCCCGGCATCTCAGCAGACGAGCCTAGGGAACCGTTCTGACTGTACTGGCCGGTGGCCACCGCGTGGTTCTTCCCGGAGGACTCCTTGTTATTATTCCCAGTCCCGGCGTTAGCGGTGGTCGTCGCCCCGTGTGAGTTAACTAGGCTGCAATTGTCCTCGCTACCGCTGTTCCCAATCTGCGACTCCGACTCGCTGTACCGGTCAACTGGAAACAAGTTTCACCAATGGAAGAATCCCCGATTGGCAAACGGCACGACCGATTCTAATCCCGAGCTGCTTTTCTCGAGCTGCTTTCGTGATTCACCTCGACGATCGTACTGGACGATCAATTATCAATAGAAATGATTTCCTTAAAGAGAAAGCTAGATGCAATCACAGCTAAGAGTCTGTGTGAAAATAAACGATCCAAGGAGTTTGCATAAAAGAAATAAATGCGTAGAGAAAAGATAAAATGAAGCGACGCTTTTTTGATTGTGCGCGTGAAGTAAATAAGTGAGACAAGCATCGAATTTATTTATAACTGAATTCAATGATATAGATGAAGATAGAGGAGAACGTAAACGCGTATAGTGTTGTGGTAGAAATGAAGTGAAGTTGTATCGAAAGATTAAATTAAATACAGAAAAAAACAAAAACGATTTATTATGTTTTTTTTTCTTTTCGAGGGGAGAGAGATACAATCTAAAGTAACTTAAAAACTACGAAAAAGAATCGTTTGGCGAGGGAAGGGCGGAAGAAAGAAGTTGAGAAGGGACGATACGAAATAAAATTGTACTCGTTCCATAGCGTTGTTAAAGAATTAACTATCTCAGGAATATCCATTGAGGTCCTTACTTTTTTCCTGCGTGTTCTCGACCAGTCCGCTCACAGCCTGCAACAATTCATTCGTTTATAAATCGTATCTATCGCACCTCGTGCTTGATAAATGACTATTTCTTAGTTAGGCTGGAATTTATAGTTGTTTCTCAGTTCTCAATTCTCAATTCTCAACTGCTTTTTGCATATTGAAGTGAGTAAACCTACCACAATGACCGTAGGCGCTTCAATGAAATTTTAAAAAATCTTAATCAATAATGAAATGAAACGTTTAAAAATATATCTTCGATTTTCATCAATCATGTATCACGAAACACATAGATATGCAACAAGTAGTTGAGAACTGAAGAACGACTATAAATTTGGGCCTTAGAACTCTGAATTAAACAGTTGATTACTAACAGCCATAGAAGTGATAGAAGATTTTGAGAATAGTCTCTCAGCTTCTTTGAACTTCCTATTCCTCTTGTCAGCTTTACTGTTGGTGTTCTTGTTGCTGGCTAAGTATCTGTCCCATCCGCGAATTATGTTACCATACAATTGTGTGTCTTCCAAGTAGCTACCCTCGAACGCATAGATCTGCCGTTCCAAGTTCGCCAGAGTATCCTGTAACAATTACGATTTATATTAGCACGTGATTTCAGTAATTATACAATAGTTTTACGTAGATTTGGTTTCTCGTAAGTGAAAGATAAATCAGTGGCTGGAGATTAAAAGAATCTTACAGAGAGATATTAGAATATTTCTTTCTAGAACGCATTCTCTCAAAAATTCCTCGAAACTCAATTAATATTTTATAATATTATTACGACATTTGTTAACATCAAACTGATATTGCTTATTAGATAAACTGGTGTAATTTAGTTTAAAGGAAAATTAAGAGCAGTTTGACTGCTATTTTATATACTCACAGCTATTTCTGCTCTCTTATAAATTACAGATGTTATTTTCTAATAATTAAACTGCAAAATTGCTTTATGCAAAATAAACCATTTGTATTGTCAGTATAGAAAATGAGATCTAAGTAGGAATTTCTTATGTATTTTAAAAATCAAAATACGCATTTCACTTTTGATATTTTGTATGTTATTGGGTATTGAATTCTTATTCTTTCTGTACATACCAATTTTCTATAAATACATAAAATCTGCAGTCTAATAATAATAATAACTCGAGGTTAAATAAATCTCATGGAGAAATACTTCCTTTTTAGAATATTTTCTCCAAACGAATTCTTCAAACCTCAATTTGGTAACATCAGATTAATATTGTTTATATAGAATGATACCGTTTAAAGACAAAGTAAGAACAATTTTTATCAAGTACTTTATATACTTACTGCAATTCTTAAAAAGAGAATACAAATCTTCATGCAGAATGAACCACTTATTGTCTCAGTTTACAGGATATGCTTTAATAAACACTTGTTTGATCATATAAACATTGAAACGACATTTATCATTTCTGCACATCCAATTTTATTATAATTACATAGAATCTATTGTTCACTTATACGTTACAAATAAGTGTACTATTCTGACAACAATGGTTTGAGGTTAAACGAACCTCATACATAGATAGTTTCCTTCTAGAATGTTCTGCCTGAACGAATCCTTCGAAACTCAATTAATATTTAATAATATTATTAAAATAGTACGCGTTTGCTAGCATCACATTGTTTAGACAGAATCATTTAAAAGACAAGTGAGAACAGTTTGACAGGTGTTTCTTGTACTCACAGCTATTTCTGCTTTCCTCTTCACCAGTTCGGCGAGTTCCGCTCGCAGGTCAACCGACGACTTCGTCGACATTACTAAATATCTATGTAATATCTATGTAACAGTAATTATTAAGAGAAAACGTCCGCGTGTTAAATAAAATTTATTCGTGCGACAGGCTAGTTTTTAGTTTGTTCTCAACGACATCCGGTAACGCCACCTATATATAGAAATGTTATTGTCAAATTGTATATAATACATGTCACGTGGTCATATACTGTGAAATGAAGATGTTGTTCAGGTTTTGAAAGAGGGCAATTACCGTAGAGAATTTCCTATATACAGAGACATAATAGAACGTCGTTTCAATAGAGGTATGGTACAAAAAGAGTTGTTAGACGAGGGCGTTACATTTTTCCGCCGTTTGTGCGGTAAATATTATGATTTACTTTGTATTCATGGAATATTAAGCTACCTCAGTAACAGGGACCTAACGAATTTGAGAGATGTTTTTTAAAAACGTATGTCCTAACATTAATGATGTAACAAAACGGGAAACACTGTAATAGTTATTACCAATAAATAGCCATTTTGTGCTTTATTTACAATATTTTCTGTCTTTCCTTTACATCCCCTAGCTTCACTTCGCAGATGTTCTCCATTTCATTTCTCCGTGGTATGAATTATTTCTACTGATAGAGAATATTCTGTTTTATTCGCTGTATTTCTTTCATCTTCTAACGTATCTTCTTGTCAATTTGCCTGTACTGATGTTCTTATTGCGCTTACCTTTGAAATTGTGTCTCACGTGTAGCGCTTAGTTCTTTGCAAATATTGATTGCATCAAACTCAAATGCTTTCGCATCAGATTAGACAGTCTAGCCGATGTATAAATTCTTTCCTAGTTGTATTATTAATTACGAAGTAAATTCAATGAGGGAAAGCATAGCGAAATATCTAAAAACAAACGACTTTGAAAACTGGAATTAGTAATTTGGTGAAGGTACATGAAATAAAAATGCCAATATTCAGTTCCATTAATTTATTAAGGAGAATTACACATTTTTACAACAAATTAGATCCGAAACAGAGGAAACTGATTTCAATAGGAGTTCATCTTCTTGTCGGCCTGATGGTGCGGTGTTGCCATATCATTGAACTCATAATCTAACCTATTTGTACATACATTTGCGGAGTCGCATTGTTATATAAAATTGTGAAGAAAATTAATTAACATATTTAGAAATGAACAGCAAGAATGCCTCCTAAAAAACCGAGGTAATTAATAAATCTATTAATACGTTCATCAAATTCTCGTTTCAATACATAGCTTAAATTGTATGGAATGAAAATAAATAAGATAAATTTTGATATAGCATTGTTTAATGTAAAACTAGGAATAAAAAAGGCAAGGAGAAGAATGACAAGGGGAAAGAACAGAGCGATCAGTACTTCGACGACATCATAACTGTAGATGAAACTAGTACGAAGGACTTTGAATTTTTATCAAACGCCCCAGTCTCCGAGGACGATCATTTTGTTTTCAAATCGGAAAAGAACTGGAACATTGATACCTCCAAATTCTCTGAATTCTTTACCCTTGATTTGAAAACGTTGTCTGCAGCAATCGAATCAATTCCCTTTAACGAGAACGTTAATATCGACAAGAAGTATTTTACTGTGAGTCTAATAATATACTAGAAACAGTCTGTAAAAAGCGAATGTTGTTTAAATATTATTAATTGTTAGGACGATCAATTGACAAGCATTTATAATACTGCTGAACAAGGAAAAGAAAAGTATAGCAAAATAGTAAACAACTCTGAGGCTGTAGTTACTGATAAAAAGAATGAAAGCGAGATACAGGATTCGATAGATGACATAGACTTCTTATTGTCGCTTCAAAAGCCTGTAAATGAGTCTACGGTGACGCTGAAATCACTACCTATCTCTTATTCGCCTGGTACACATTTACTATGTAATCAACATTCTAAATCTTAAAAGTTGATCAACGTTTGACCATGGATGCTTTATTTATAGATTCGCAAATTGTAAGTAAGCCCAGCACGTCTACCAAACCTCTGGACTTGGAGAAGTGGTTGGACTCTGTGTTGGATGATTAAACAAATATTTTTATTGTTAACGAATTTTTTACATAAATATATCTAACGTTTAATGATATAAACGTATGATACGTTGTTTCATTGTAAGTCAGACACACTGAACGAGTCAGTATACTTCAATCACATAAATTGTTATTTTGGTAGAAATCACGTTTTTACGATCACCCTAAAATCTCAGAGAAACTAAACATTAATAGATTAATAAAAATACGGAAACGGTTACTGAGGATGTATTATTCTAAGCAAATCTTTGGCAATGTTAATCGAAAATGCACGGCTCAGTCTAGACTGTGTTTCGTTATGGTTTTTAGTCACCGAACTGCATATTGAGGTATGCTTTCATTTTGTCGTATACGATCAGCATGATCGCGCCTCCTGGCCCTAATCTTAATACCTTTGGTAGCAACCCTTTATACAAAGCTTGGAATCTGAAAATATGATTACATATAATTCATATGCATATACAGGGTTTTAAGAAATTATATGTCGCAATCATAGGATGATTCTACACCCTCGATTTGGTAAAAATTGATCTAAGATTTCGTAAAATTGACCTTGATCTGGAATTTCAAGGTATTGAACGAAATTAACAATATGACGACTTCGAATAACACGCAAGGATTATTACAGAGAAGTAAGGGTTCATACAACCTTAAGCATAAAAAATTCTGAGTACGAAAGTATTATACCAATGAGGGCTTTGAATTAGTAGTTCTTGATATGTTCGTAAAACTAAAAATTCGTAATTTTATTTCAAGAGTTGACCCTACGGTGACCATCCGTTCTGTATTTCAGCAGCCAATCCCCGAAATTTTTTAAAAAAATACGAAACATAAGGATGTTCGGTATTTGTCTCTGGGTATAAAAGAATTATCTTACCCTTCTCTATGATACACTAAGTAAATAGTCCTGAGGGTGCCCTTATACTGAGCTCCCTGTGGGCCTTGAATACGACTCTTGGCAACATCAAAAGGAATATTCATACAGGATGCCACTGTCCCAGATATAAAACCTATAGCAAACTACATAATCAACAGTTTAGTTATCGTTAATGCGGATTCGTTGGAGAGAGAAATAATCTACCTTAAGTACAAGCTCCGGAACATATTCTTTCTGGTTTTGTAACAGAGGAAGGATAGAGTGATAAATGCCGAAATAAAACGAGTTGAAAACGCCGTTCCTCATTACTGTTGCAGATAAACCTTTGTTAATTCCCTTCAACCCGAAACCTTGTTCGGTTATAATGCGTCGAGTAACTTCGAACGTCGATGGACTAGCGCTTATGTGCTTGCGGTTCGATTGCATCTGTACTTTGACCACTTCGAACGGATTAACGATAATCCCCTCGGTAACACCGGTTAAGAATCCAGCGCAGAAGTAAACCTGAAGAAATCGTGTAATCGTTCATATTTCGATGTTCCTTTAAACGTTAATTTTAATCGCGAGAGACTCGCTTGACCGAGGCGTTTATTACGCGATACATACCGTTGATTTCGGCGTTTGATTGTTAAAAATCTTCTTATATTGTTCAAAGGAGAAAAACTAAAAAGAAGAGTAGGAAAAAAATACAAAATGCAAAAGTCCCGTGGCAACGAAAAGAATAAAAAAAAAGATAGGTGTTGCGTACTTTCACAGCTCGTTTAGGAGTTTCCATAAGAACTGGTGGTAATATACCTTTCCAAAAGGCGGCGAGTCCTTCGTTCACATACATTTTCCTCATACAATCGCCGATCCCTGTGATTTCCATAAAATTACAGTTAAATACGCATTAATTGATTATGAATAACGGTGAATTCCCTCATCAAATGAAATGATACAATGCCTGTATAATAAAGAGCATCCTGCGTCCCCATTTTCACTTGCAGCTGAAAACGCGTTTTAATTAAATCCATCGGATGCATTATGCAAGCTTCCACGAAGCCTGCACAGCCTCCGGCACCTATTTGGATAGCAGCCTCCTTGAAGATGCCCGGTTTAGGGCGCACGATCTCTAAATGACTCATCTTTCAATTTCCTTGATAAACCCTTAGTTCGTTAATCCTCCCTTATTTTTTATGCATTATATTCCCCTCGAACTTCGGAGTTTCTCCTAAAACAAATACACCTTATATTACCAATAAATCGTAATTTGAGAAGTTTGCAAGTTTGTAAAATAAATAAATTTGACAAAAAGGATATTACCGTGTTGTGA